GGATGTGAAGGCTAGCTCACTCAGCAATGTCATAGGTCCAGCAGCTAGAAAATCATTTTCCTTTTTTAATGACTTCAGTACAGTGGGCATGCAATCACTAACCACCTGAGTCCTTTCCCTGTATCAGAACGTGCAAGCTTTTAAAATTTGACTGAAATGTCTGATAAAAAAAACCGTTATGCAGTTTTTCTTCGGCTTAAAATTGTGGATTTATCCTTGTATCCCAGAAATGTATTTTCCAATGGTGACATCTGCTTTTGAGCTCAGCTGAATACAGAGTTTAGCATTTGGCCCTTCAGACTCTACTCAAAATGTGTATGCTGTGCACATCTGTGATATGGCCACTGAAAATCCATATGACCGATGGAAGAAAGAAAAGCAAGCAAATCTATAACCCAGGATTAATGAAAAAACGTGATCTTGGTTTGTGACCACTGAAGGGCATCCAAAAAGGAGAGAAAATATCATACACGTGAATAACCAAAATCTCAAAAGTTGTCAGAAAGTGCGGGTTAAATTCACCTTTTTATAGCGATCATTTAAAATCATTGTGTTGTGAGAACTCTCAATGCCTCAAAGTTGATAATCTGAAATGTGGAACTATTAACAGTTTAATGATTTTTATGTTTATAAATTAACCCAGGGCTTGGCGCCTCTATGGTTTGTGCTTGAGTATCCCAGGCATTTTACAAGATACATGGGACTGCCTTCACTGGAATGAAACTTGAACTGGGCCATGAGAAGCAAATAACCCAGGACAAGTAGTGAAAGGGTTAGCATGAGGGGCAAAAGTCTACTCGAGCACTGGGGATACTGGAAATACAGAATCAGGGGCACCTGGGTGGCTCGGTTAAGTGTCTGACTCTTGGTTTCGGCTCAGGTCATGATCTTGGGTTGTGAGATTGAGCCTTGTGTAGGGCTCCCTGCTCAGTGCAGAGTCTGCTTCAGATTCTTTCCCCGTCTCTTCTTCCCCCTCTGTTCCTTGTGTGCAATCTCTCTAAAATAAATAAAATCTTAAAAAAAAAAAAAAGAAATACAGAATCAGCTGGAGCAGTCTGTGGCAACCTTTGTCAGGTCGAATCTGTCCTTTTGCTGAAGGTAGGAGAGCCACGTGACAACGTTTCAAAGTGAGGAAACAAGGGGTTTAAATGGAAATGGGTAGAAGTGGTACGATCGCAGAAAGGAACAGGTTGATCAACTTGCAAAAATTAACTGAACCAAGTAACTCTTAGCCGCAAATCGTTCATTAAAAGCTGCACACTGGTGTAAAGTAAAGTAATATGGGTAAAAAGCACTGGGTAAAAGCCACAAGAATGTCTGTAAAGTACATTCAGATTCTCTCAGCTAGTAGAAAACATGTTGCCAAAAAACATGCCGTCAGCTGACAAAGATTAAAATCCCAAAAAAACCTCCATCCCGGTTGAAGACCTGTTTTACCTACCAGCTCAGGGGCTGTGGAACTTCAACTTTCTGACCATCCACCTCCAGGTCTTCCAATTCCTTGAAATACTTGTTCTTTAAGCAATGGAGAATCTCCTTTGCGTGGCTATTAAAAAATAAGTAAGTTTTGATCCGATCTGATCAAATATACATTTTATCTTCTGTGAACCTAAGATGACAAATGTCTTAAAACTAAAACCACCTCTGCGCTGAAAGCAGACCTCATTCATCATGCCTTTCTACCCTATCCCTTCAAAGTTTAAACAACTCTCGTTTTATCACTAAAGGATAAGCTAAAAAGACTACTACTGCATTCCTTCCGCCCTACATATTCCTAGGGTTCATATTTACTTGCAACTCATCTCGGAAAGATGGAACCACAGAGATTTAAAAAGACAAGAGAACCGGAGTTTCGCACAAACTGTGTAATATCATAAATTCTCACGTGTTCCAAAGGGGAGGCATCCTCAGCTCCCGAATGCCCAGGCGTCCACCTTTTCTCAGACTGCATTTTCGTGACTTCTAGTCTCCCGAACTGCAACACCTCCCCGGCCTATTCCGTTTGACCCCTGTGCTCCCTCCTCGATGCGTGCAGACGCTGGAATCCACAGCGCCGGTAAGCAGCAGCTCTCCAGCCCCGCAACACTCGCCGGGGGCCTGGCGGGGCGAGGGGGGCACCCTCATCTTGAACTGACCCCAACTCCAGGAAATCAAGGCTCCGCAAGGTCCCTTACCTTTTGTAGCCAGTAATTCGCAAAGTGGCCGGGAGGGGCTCCCTGAGCGCTTCCATGAACAAGTCCCACTCGCCCTCTGGCACGATCTTGAGTTCCTGATAGTAGTGCTCGAAGAGCTTGTTCTCCTTGACGATCTCGGGGTACCCGCCTTCCCAGCCCTGAGGAACGAGAGACGCGTCTACCCAGGGCCGGAGAAGCCTCCCCGCTCCGTCC